TGTGTGTGTGTGTGTGTATGTGTGTGTGTGTGTGTGTGTGTGTATGCGCACGTGCATGCGTGCGTTTGTATATGTCTGAGAGTGTGAGCATTCGTGTATATTCGTGTACTCTGCATCTATGTGTATGTATGTGTATGCACGCTCGCTTATATGTTTAACCTGCGCGAGTTCGGAATGTTTATAACGAATGTTGAGTTCCCCTATGTATTTCACGAAATATCAAAAAAAAATTCTGAAAAATTGAACAAAATATTTCCTTGTTTTTTCTTTATTTTCTGTATCAATCCACCACCACCCCACCCCTTACCCGCCCCCTCCCATAAAAACACCAACCCAACCCAAACAATACACAACCCAACGATGACCACAACCTCACCATGAACAAAACCATCTAGGCAATTGCCGGCCCAGACGGACTGGACGGGAGACAACCGAGTGGCCTGGAGGTTCCCAAGTACACCGAACAGGTACGTCATTGAAGGCCTCTGCTCGCCGGGGAGTTCATTATAATTACTATAATTACTAGCTAGGCACCCCGTTCGATGAACGGACTCAAAAGAATAGATCATCTAGTCATTGTGGAAGCGGTGCGCACAGCTTGTGAACGGAAGTTTCACTTGTTTATAATGGCGTCCCAAGATTAGATTTAAACGAAACTAAAGAAAAACTGAAAATTAAACTACAGTGACTTAGACTCCTTAATTTAACTGTGTACCCTTTAAATTAATCTGAACCATCGTCAATTTTTTTCAAATTCAAAAGTTAAGTAGTTTGGAAGTTTTTAACGACCAAAGTTGGGAACTTTCACAAATATAATGATAATTTAATATACATTCGTTTTATTCGTTTTATTTTCAAATGCAGGATATTTTTCGCGTCCGTCAACACAATTTAGATCACATAGTCTGCTATGTTAGTCTGCTTGTTAGGGCCAGCCTGGGATGAAAAAGATTTTGATTTAGTATCCCAGAAAAAAGACGGAAATGCTCGATGAAAATTTCTCCCATTCGGGAATCGAATTCGGGTCTCCTGCTTGCGATGACAAAACGCATAACCGTTACGCCTTAACGACACCCTCTCTCTTCTAAATTGACTGTTCCTGTCTTGATGTTCGAGCTTGCTTGAGGAGTGTTTAGCGAGAGAAAATCTTTTTAGCATCTGTCGTACTTATCTCTCCTCTTTGTTGTGATCGTTGTTGTACTCACTCGTAATACCTCTAATCTTCGGTAATTATGTGACCAATGTGTGTTGCTAGTGCCGTGAAACGCTTATAAAAACAAAACAAGAAACGAAAACACCATCTACAAGCATCTCTGTACCAAGGCTAAAACAATACTTTAACTCGGCTGGAGCCTCTATGAATACATGTACATGGTTCTCTATTCCAACCCCCCCACTCTCTCTCTCTCTCTCTC